TTTGTTATTATACTATTACATGTAGTTCTATTCCTTTGGATAAGAAAATGACAAAGGGTCAGATTGTATGTCCAGAGGAAGTCTCACTGACTTGGGAATCAGCAGCTGAGGATGACGGGACCCTGTTCTGTCACTCATCGACTGAGTGAGCTTCGATAGTCTGTTGACCACACTTCCTCTGTCTGTCCATGAAAGATTGATGATGAACTGCCGTTGACTGAGTGCCTGCTCTGTGCTGGGCAGCATTATTGCTAATCTTTACAACAGCACTGCAAGGTGGGCATTACACCCCTTTTATAAATGAAGAAACTGAAGGGCAGAAGGTTGTACAACTTGCCCAAGGTCACAGAACTAATAAGCAGCCAATTCTGAGATTCTAAACCATCTGGATATGAAACCTCTGTGTTTTATTCCATGAATTTATAATTCTCTGAATTATTTATATTTCATTTTGGGATGCTCTGCCCTGACCATATTCCTCTCCTTTTTTGTACCTTTTTTATTACTGAGAATTCTTCCGAAAAACTAACATTGATTTTAACTGACCACATTTTGGGCAATTGTTCCTTGACAAATTTTTCTTAATTTCTTGGTTTTTCAATACTTCATCACAGATCTTCTTAAGACAAACTAGTTGCATATAGTCTATCAAACTGGATGTAGTCTGTTCTCATCCATTTACGTAATTGTAAATAAAATTATTGAAACATAGTGTCCTCATACCTCTCAATGTTAGGATTCTCTTCAGGACCACCTTTTACATCTTGCTTCCAATTTATTATTGTGTAATTCATTCATCAGGTGTTTGTCAGGTTTCATTTGTAATCTCCCTGTCCATGGATTTCTCTATAGAGAGAGAACAATTAAAAGAAAAAGTGCAGCTCAGTCTTTTCTCCTGCTAAAGTGGCTAATTGTTTTTGTAAATGGTATAGATTATGGAGTCTTGGTTTGTCATCTAAACCTATGGTAGTCCATTTTTTTATCATCTAATTCTGTTGCTTTGGTATATTTTCTGGGGCCCAACTGTGTGAAAATATCTTAATGCTCAGAGGTTCCTTTTATAATAGAAAAACTTTAATTGCTACAAGGCTGAAGAAATTGGCTGTGATTAAAAATAGCTGCACTCAGGCCGGCCCCGTGGCTTAGCGGTTAAGTGCTCGCGCTCCGCTGCTGGCGGCCCAGGTTCGGATCCGGGTGCGCACCGACGCACCACTTCTCCAGCCATGCTGAGGCCGCGTCCCACATACAGCAACTAGAAGGATGTGCAACTATGACATGCAACTATCTACCGGGGCTTTGGGGAAAAAAAGGAGGAGGATGGGCAATAGATGTTAGCTCAGAGCTGGTCTTCCTCAGCAAAAAGAGGAGGATTAGCACAGATGTTAGCTCAGGGCTGATCTCCCTCACAAATAAATAAATAAATAAATAAAACTGAAAAAAAAATAGCTGCACTGTTGTAGCAAGATATACATTGATTTCCCCAGTGGTTAAACATGTTTTAAAAATATAAATGAAGTCGTTAGTTCCTGTAAAATCAAAGAAATAATGACAAACCATTTTAATTATATTTAAAAATTCAGACTTCAGCATTCTTATTGTCTTATTACTTGCAGTGCCTTGGCTTCCTCTGGGTGCTTACATCCTAAGCAGATCTCGTGCCAGCCACAGCTGCGCTTCATCTTCTGCCTGTATACTTTGCATCCCAGGATTATGGACTTTAGAAATTGACTTTGACATAATTTGATAAAATTGGTATAATAAGATTAGCCATTTTCTTGGGTCTGTAGGTTTGATATCCGACTGTTATAAACCTCCATAAGTCAGTTCTGAAAGTTTAAGAAATGGGGAAAGTGGGATGGAGTGGAGCGAGGTGGCATCTGCTCGCCTCTATTGTGAACTCTAGAATTATGTTTATCAGGCTTTATGGATTCTAAACCAGAGAGTTAGGCTCAGTGATAACTCCCCCATTTTTCTATTCACCTATAAATATCATAATATACTGTTTGATAATTTTATGCATACAGTTGGTAATGAACAAAAACTTACTAAGTAGATATTAGTTAAAGGAAGATCTTTGTTTAGAATTCTTTGCTTATTATGATACCTAATGGTGGAATTCTCTAACAGTTGAGTAGACACATTTTAGATGGTTTTTCTTTAATTTTATTTTTTTAATTATTAAAATATGTATTACACAGCAGTATATGACTACATTTCCAAAGAAATTAAAATATTTCCAGATAAGTTGATCTATCCCCAAATCTATCCACTTCTCCAGAAAAAAAACATTGTTATCAGTTTAATATGTATCCCCCACACCTGTATTTGATATATTTATATATATCGAGATAATGTATAGTGTTGATTTGTGTGTATGTGTTTTATATAAATAGTATCCTACCGTATATTGTTGATCATCTTTCAATAAAGTTTTTCAAGAGTTTCCCAGTTAGTTAACTCTGGTTAAAAACAATTCCATACTGCCCTTTCTATCTCAGGCAAAACTGGTAGGAGATGAAACTTGTTCTTGGCCTCTATTATTTTGTTCATTATCTCTCTTGCCCATCTTCATTTTTCAATCCCCTCTCTCTCCCATACACACTTAGTGCCTCCTCTCGCCTTCCTCATCCTATCACTTAGACTCTAAGGAAAAGATTCCTGTTCTTCACTTTGGACTTGTCAGTGTACTACTTACAACACTTATATATTAATCCTTGGCACCAAGTACAAAATAAAATACTTTGTTCTAGTTAGAAGAACTTCCAGTACCAGTAAGACGGGGGAAATGTTTTAGGGAGCATGAGATTTCTCCTTTGTCCCTGAAGTCCCACCTGCTAGGTACCTGTTCATCCTGTGAGGCCATGAAGTCAGTTCTGCCCAAGAATATTTTGAAAGGAAAAGTGCACATTTAGAATAGGCCTTACATTTGATTATGGAACCACTTGTTGGCATTCCAATTTATAATTTGAAATAGTTGACCCCTCTGCTCAGCCAGGGGCAAGGCAATGAAGGTTAAGAAGATTGCTCAACATTTCCAAATGAAAAGGAGACAGGTTATGTGCCCGGAGAATACGTAAAAGCGTGGATCACTACCACTGTTATTGTATGGTAGTAATGACTATAACACAGCTAAGAACCTACTGGCCCTAAAAAAGGACTGCTGTGTTCCCTACCCCCAGGCTCTTGGCTCTGCTCGGGTAATTTTGGATCCCAAGCATTGAAAAAATTTTAGATATTACCTATATATATACACCTCTGTGGTTTTCACATTCATCATCCTGGCGCTGTTTTCTACCTTGAAGAATACATACCTACTTATCAAGTGCTGGGCACGACGCTAGCCATTTTTTACGCTTCATATTTTATTAAACCCGTCAGATTTAATAGGGTAAAGATTAGGATCCCCATTTTATGGGTGAGACCATTGAAGTTCAAGGTCACCTAAATCAAAGTGGTTGTTTCATAATTCAAGCTGAGATGAAGTGAACTCTAAAGTCTGTCCTTTCCATGAAGCCTTGCAGCTTCTCTTCATATCCCCTTTTATCAAACAATCTTGCATAGGTTGTTTTACAGGTAGTCTTATGTAATATTTTGGACTCTCACTCTAACTTGGTGTCATTTAGGGGGAAAGTTTAAAAAATAAACTATAGAGTATTCACAATCATTCATAATAATTGCATATGCTATGCAAATATAATTTGCCATCTTGAAAATTTTACCAGCCAAAACCCACTTAAAAGCTTGCTGATAGAAGTCTTCTTTTCACTAAAAGCGTCTATCTGCTAGCTAAAGGAATGACCCATAGCAAGAAGCCACTCAAGTAATCAAGTCTGTTCACTGACTAAACTTGTTTCTCCATTCCCAAATTCTTAGATTAATGAAAGCCTTGAGTTCTTTTGAGGGATTACATAAAGTATTCCTATGTGTCTAACAATGTCCTACCAGGCTTGTGGAAGAGGAATTAGAATGTTCTTTCTCTGGCTGTCCAGTTATCTGATATTTCTTTTTATGTAATGGAATCTTGTGGTTTGGCTTTTTAGCTTTTTGTTGTTGAAAATAATTGCTGCTACTTCAAATTATTTTCCTGTTATGATATCATATTTGCATCAAGTGTAATTTCTGTATACATTTTAGACTGCGTTTAGTGAAAACTCAGGGACTCTAGAATGACTTGTTTTTGTGTTTGTATTCTTGATCCAGATATAACCCTATATTGATATTTGAACTCAGCGAAGCAAAATTTATTAGAAGATAAGATTGATAGGTCTTCTATTTCTTGCCACAACTCTAAGTATTTTGCTTTGGAAAGATAATGCTGTTTTGAGTCTAATAAAATATCTTAAGACTATTAAATATTTATTCTTAGCAAACTTTAAATATTCAGGAAATTTTATTTGAAAATCAACTTATTCTTTTGAATTTTGAGTTAAGAATAATTTAAGCATGTTCACAAGGCGAGATGCTGCCATTATTTAATGTGATTTATATTATTCATGTAGTGGAGCTCTGTTAGTGAGTTTGGGGGACTATATTTTGACATGGTGGGAGATATTTCACTGAGATGCCAAGACCTTGTGCATATGTTTGTTTTATCCACCAAAATCATCCTGCAGGTATTTGTGAAGTGTTTTAGGGATAGCATTCAGTATGCACTTGTGGATGTTTCACAAATGTGGGCAAGATCTTCTGTGTCTCTGAATTTCTTGGATTGAAAGGATCTTCTAGATAATGTTCTCATCTGCTCAGACTGTTCAGTGATTCAAATTTTAAAGAATAAAATTCCGTGAAACCACTGGCAGCATCATTAAGTCTACCATCACCTTTATAGTTAGTCTTTTTGCATATTTCAGTTAAGTCCACCTGTCTGAAATACTAGCCAATTTTCATTTATTTTCCCCCAAAGAATGCTGTTCCACTGGTTGAGGCATTGATGCAATAGCATAAATTCACCCATTCCTAGAAATGTAAGTTAACAATGACATTTTTATTTTATTTTTTAGAGCATCAGGGCATCAGGCCTTATCCTGTTGGAAACTATCCTTTTTGGGTCTCTGCTTCTATACTTTCCGGTAAGTAATATAATTGTATTTTAAAAGTGGCCATTGTTTTATTTTGCTTAGGCAGTAATTTATATTTGTGTTTATATATATAAAACTGCTTATATATATTATATATATAAAATATGTTACTTGTTTATATATCTATATCTGTATACAAGTTTATATATGTATATCTATTGCATATAGATATACATATATAAACAAGGCTTTACAGATATTTAAACTGTGGCTCTTACCTAATGGGGACCTTAGACAAGTTAGTTAGCATTTCTAAACTTTGTAAAATGGAGCTAATTATCCTTTTCTTCCCAAGTTTGTGAGGAGGGTTAAACGCTTAAGTGAGCTAGCATACAGAAGTCATGCTTGGTATATACATATAAATATTTGTTTCCTTCATCTTCCTCCTCCACCTGAATCAGAACTGTGACACACACCAACTAGTTAATGCTAAAAAATTTCAAATGGTTACATAGATAAATAACTAGAATAAAATAAATGTGTATGTGGTGCTAGTGGCATAGATAATCATAGAGGACTCTTCCTATCACACCAGTAACATATCTGCAACCAGAAGGTAAGTACTGAGTTTACTAATTCAATTCAACCAACATGTATTCAGCAGTTACTGTATCATGATGCTAATTTTTGGGAATACTCTATGACGGAGATAAACTTGATTTCCTCTCTCAAGAAGCTTAGAATTTAGAGGAGGAGATGAGTAAATACAGGCAATTATGATACAATGTGACAAAAGCTAAGAGAGTGGTAAGGGCAGGATGCTGTGGAGGCACTTAGAGGAGACACCTAAGCAAGTCTAGGGAATAAAAAATCACTTGACTGAATGTAAAAGGTGAATAGATGTTACAGAAGGAAAAAGTAGGGCTGCCAGGATACCGTATTCTTACCTCAGTAGGTTTTCTCTTTCAGCCTTCCTTGTTGATTCTTAATCTTCTTTCCCATCTCTTAATACTTGAGTGCCTAGGACTCAGTTCTTGTAGCTCTTTTTAATCTACACTTTCCCTTGGTGATCTCATCTAGCCTCAAAGCTTTAAATACTATTTATGTGCCAGTGACTCCAAAATTTATATCTCCAGCCTAGACATTTCCCCTGAGCTCCAAACTCATATTCATCTGTTTACTTGACAACTCCACTTGAAAGTCCAGCAGAATTCCATACCATGTTCTTAGCTATCATTTTCTTAGCTGAGATAATGATCTTCCTTGCCTCCAAAGTCAGTCTCCCCATCTCTGTTGATGGCAACTCTATCCTTCTAGTTACTGGGGCCAAAAACCTGAGAGTCATCCTTGGCCCCTCTCTTTCTCTCACGTCCATCAGAAAACACTTCAAAGTACAGCAAGAATGGAACCACTCCCTGCCACATGCTGCCTCCCTGGTCTAAACCATGATCAATCTCTTCTAGATTATTGCCATAGTCTCTTCCTGGCCTCTCTTCCTCCGTGCTTACCTCCTACAATCTGTCTATTTTCAAAATATCAGCCAGTTTCGAGACCAAAGTTATACCATGGCACTCCTCTTCTCAAAAACTCCTAAAGGTTCCCCATTTCACTTATAGTAAAAGCCAAAATTCTGAGAATGGTCTACAAGGCCCAACATGATTTGGATCCTGCCCCCTCCATTACCTCATTTTCTAGTCATTTTCCCTCACTCACTGTGTACAAGTGTTCTTAATTTATTCAGGTTTTCTACTTTCTGAATTACTTTTTATATTTCTCAAGACAGAAATTTATTTAGGTATAATCAGTTTATATTTTTCCATAATATCATCCATATTACTTAAGTTTTCTAATTTACTAGCATAGAGTTATGTATAGTAATTAATAAGAGAAGCAATATACAAATGCAAAGACTGTTTATCATGCCTGGTACTCTTCCTGTATAAATGGCGTGTTGTACATGATAACGTTTAATCTTCCCCATAGAACTACCAGGCAGGTATTTAACCAAAGTTATAGAGTCACTCAATGAGGAAATGAAAGACCAGAAATGACTTTAATGATCTGAATAATAATTTTAATCATCTGAAATCTGTTCCTGATGCCATCATCTTTTTCCTGGAGCTCCGCTATTTTAAAATACATTTTCTATCCAGTAGCCAGAGGGATATTTTAAAATATCAAATCGATATCAAATCGAATCTGTCACCATTTCAATAGCTTCCCCAATGTTCTTAGAATAAAGATCAAAACTTTTGACGTGGTTTATGATGTTGTATAGAGTGTGGTCTTTGCCCACCTCGCCAGCCTCATCCAGTACCACTTTTCTCCTCACGTTCTGCACCTGGGTACGCTGACCTACTTTCAGTTCTTAAATGAAACACAACCTCTCTTATGGTAGGGTATAATAATGGCTCCCCAGAGATGGCCACAGTCCTCATCCCTGGAACCTCTGAATATATTACCTTACATGGAAAAAGAGACTTTGCAGATGTGATTAAATTAAGGACTTTCAGATGAAGATTATTCTGGGTTATCTAGATGGGCTAGATAAAGGGAAGCAGAAGAGAGAGAACCAAAGAGATGGCGTCATGAAAAGGGTTGGACTGGCTATTGCTGGCTTCGAAGATGGATGAAAGAGACAACAAGCCAAGGAATGCAGGCAGCATCTAGAAGCTGGAAAAGGCAAAGAAACAGATTCTTTCCTAGGGCTTCTAGAAGGAAGACTTTGATTTTAGCTCCATAAGATCCATGTTGGATTTCTGACTTCCGGAACTCTAACATAATAAATCTGTGTTGTTTTAAGACATGAAATTTGTGGTAATATGTTAAGGCAGCAATATGAAACTAATATGCCTCTTTTGTGTGTGTGTGGGGGGAAATATATGCTTTTTTATTTACTTCACCAAATTTGAGATGAGAAATTTTCTTTTTTTTGTTTTTATTGCAGTAACATTGGTTTATAACATTATATAAATTTCAAGAGTACATCATAACATTTCGATTTCTGTATAGATTACATTTTGTTTACCACCCAAAGACAAATTACAATCTATCACCACACACGTGTGCCTAATCATCCCTTCACCCTCCTCCCTCCCCCCTTCCCCTCTGGACCACCAATCCAATCTCTGTCTCTATGTGATTGTTTGCTGTTGTTTTTATCTTCTGCTTATGAGTGAGACCGTATGGTATTTGACCTTCTCCCTCTGACTTATTTCACTTTGCACAATACCCTCAGTGTCCATCCATGTTGTCACAAGTGGCTGGATTTCATCGTTTCTTATGACTGAGTAGTAATCCGTTGTGTATATATACCACATCTTCTTTATCCATTAGTCCCTTGATGGGCACCTAGGTTGCTTCCAAGTCTTGGCTATCGTGAATAATGCTACAGTGAACATAGGGGTGCATGTATCTTTACACATTCATGTTTTCATATTCTTTGGATAAATACCCAGCAGTAGAATAACTGGATCGTATGGTAGTTCTATTCTTAATTTTTTGAGGACTCTCCATACTGTTTTCCATAGTGACTGTATCAGTTTGCACTCCCACCAGCAGTGTATGAGAGTTCCCTTCTCTCCACATCCTCTCCAACACATGTTGTTTCCTGTTGTGTTAATCATAGCCATTCTGATGGGAGTGAGGTGATATCTCATTGTAGTTTTGATTTGCATTTCCCTGATAGTTAATAATGTTGAATATCTTTTCATGTGTCTGTTGGCCATCTGTTCTTCTTTGGAGAAATGTCTGTTCAGGTCTTTTGCCAATTTTTTAATTGGGTTGTTAGTTTTTTTGTTGTTGAGATGTATGAGTTCTTTATATATTTTGGATATTAACCCCTCATCAGACATATGGTTTGCAAATATCTTCTCCCAATTCTTAGGTTGTCTTTTCATTTTGTTGATGGTTTCCTTTGCTGTGCAGAAGGTTTTTAGTTTGATGTAGTCCCATTTTTTTATTTTTTCTATTGTTTCCCTTGCTTGGTCAGACACGGTACTTGAAAATATGTTGCTAAGACCAATGTCAAAGAGCGTACTGCCTATGTTTTCTTCTAGAAGTTTCATGTCTTACATTCAAGTCTTCAATCCATTTTGAGTTGATTTTTGTGTATGGTGTAAGATAATGTTCTACTTTCATTTTTTTGCATGTGGCTATCCAGTTTTCCCAACACCATTTGTTGAAGAGACTTTCCTTTCTCCATTGTATACTCTTAGCTCCCTTGTCGAAAATTAGCTGTCCGTAGATGTGTGGGTTTATTTCTGGACTTTAAATTCTGTTCCATTGATCTGTGTGTCTGTTTTTCTGCCAGCACCATGCTGTTTTGGTCTCTATAGTTTTGTAGTATACTTTGAAATCAGCAAGTGTGATACCTCCAGCTTTGTTCTTTTTTCTCAGGATTCCTTTTGCTATCCGGGGTCTTTTGTTGTTCCATATAAATTTTAGGACTCTATGTTCTATTTTTGTGAAAAATGTTGTTGGAACTTTGATAGGGATTGTGTTGAATCTATAGATTGCTTTAAGAAGTATGGACATTTTAACTATGTTAGTTCTTCCAGTCCAAGAGCATGGACTATGTTTCCATTTGTTTGTGTCTTCTTCAATTTATTTCAACGATGTTTTATAGTTTTCAGTGTACAGATCTTTCACCTCTTTGGTTAAGTTTATTCCTAGGTATTTTATTCTTTTTGTTGCAATTAATATGCCTCTTGTCGTAGGTATATTATGTTGTAGGCATATATTTTCACGTGCTTTTCCTTCAGTTTTGAAGAGTCTTCCTCTCTTCATTCTCCTCACATCCCTCTCACCAATTATTTTGCTTAATTAACACCAAGTCATCCTTTAGACTTCTACTTAAGTGTCACTTTTTCAAAAACGCTTTCCTTGACTCCCAATCTGAGTCAAATTCCTTAAAACAACTTCTCATGGAATCCCACTCTCTTTCTTGACAACACCTATCTCAGTTTGTAATTATACATTCAAAAGTACAATTATTTGTTTAATATCATTCTCCTGCACACTCTGCACTCTAGTTCTGTGAGAACAAGGGC